CGTTTGAATGACAGATCAACAGAGGGCGGCTTTACTTGGGTTGATCGTGGACATGGAAACTTTACAGCATGGGCCGAGAATCAGCCAAATAACTTCAAAGAAGAAGATTGTGTGCACGCACTTGGTGTGAAATACAGCTATGAATGGAACGACGTGCAGTGTAGTGATTGTCATCAATTTACTTGTAAGAAAGGTAAGTCCAACATATTGAATGAAGTTTTTAAGATATCGGATATAGGTTTCGGATACGTGAAGCAACTTGGAACATTCTTCCCCTCCTGCACAAGATGTCAGTTCATATGTCCTTGCATTTTGCCACGTTTCTTTTCAGAACAGTTAACTTATAACTATTTGTACTTTTTGATGGATAGGCACTAAAAAAGCTGGGTATCTTGCTTAAGGATACGGTAGACCTTCGCGGGCCAAGTTTTGACAACATATTTTTTTGTTGTACCCCAAACAAAGCATTCCTATTTTAACTACAGCTTCCTCAAAAAAATTATTTTAAAATATTGAAACGCACTCGAGTTATTTACAACAACGTGTTTTCAAACTAAATTCTTTGAGCCGCCAAAGTGTGAAAAGCCAACTGTATTGTGACAACACAAATGACTCCCGTAATGTTTTTCGCGGCAGAACATCTTGGGTACGATTAGTCGCATAAACATCTTCGTATGTCGGTTTCACGTGTTTATCGTAGCAGTTAGTGAAATAATGAGCAGAGTCACAAGTAAAAGGAAAAGAGCCCTCGGGTTGAAGCTGAAAGGAAGCCTGGCCGTAATAGCCAGACATTGAAGGATTTTGATGAAGAATAGAGAAAAGTCTCGACGAATCCGATAAGGGCTCGTGGTATAAGCAGTCTTTGCTGCTAACCCATCGACAAATTCTGCCTCCGCCTGAAACTTGCATCGGAAAGTGGTGAAGAACCAAAGCAGACTAGCGATGCTGTGTGGAGAGTCTTCTGGGCTTCCGCTCCTGTGTTTCTATAAGCGGTCGTCATTTCGAGTTTTCCAGAGTATTGACATAACTTGACATGTGGTTAACCAATGGCGTGAGATGATTGAAAAACTTTGGAAGGGAAAAAAACCCTCTTCGTTTTTACGTATCTGCGTCTTCTTTGGACGAGTTAATAGGGTATCAAAATCTTTTTGTATCGACTCGAAATTTGTTCCGAAGGCTCCCATAATATTAATCTAACAAAAACGCGTGGGGCTTTTACATTTTTTAAAACTTATCTCCCACGATGGTCTCCGACGTAACGCGTACTGGTAAAACTTTGATAACCAAACTTGACAGATGGATTACAAAGCAAACAATAGGAATATCGAAAAAAACCCACATGGTTTTTAAGACCAACCAATTAGGATTGAAACTGCGCAAAAGGTTTTACTTGTGCGGGTAGATTTGATACCCAATTAATTTGCTCGAAGAAACATCGTCCGTTTCGACTTGTCGCGCTTTACGATTAGATCAAGTGAAAACGAAACAATTTTTGCTAGAAAACACATTTCATAATCTTTCCATTCACATATAGTTTATGGTGGTTACGCATTAAATAGCGCGGTAACAACTTTTTCCGCTAATGACCCCCTCTAAGAACTACCATAGCCTTCACTACTTCAAGCAACACAATGATTCTATTGTGTTACGGTATTTTCTCAACCGACAGAAAGATACAAC